TGCCCAGCGACTGCACTAGTCTGCTGCACGAGAGTGTGGAGGCCTGTTTTCTTTGTCTCGTTCTCTGCCTCGTTAGCAGTGGTAGCGGAATGGGGTGGTGCATTCCCCAGCAGGGCTTTTCTCGAACTCGGACGTTTTGGGCTCCCTTCCAAAAATGCCCTGAAACCGCAGGGTCATAAAAAATTCCGCTCGGAAAACTCAGGGCTGGTCTGAAATTTCCTCGTTTACGTAAGGGCGTGTAAATGTTTTCTTTCTGACTGTCCGGACGGCCCACTGTCCGGAATTTTCTAGGGTTACCAACTTTGGCAAACTCCGTAGACGAATCAAAGACGAAGCGAATACTGACGATATTAGTAACCCTACCAATGTCCGAACGATGGGCCGTCCGGACGGGCAGGATTGGAGGCTTCTTTCTGACTAAAGGTGATGTTGAAACTCTTTGTTGGTGCACTTGTGCTGCCGTTGTGGACTCTCCTCACAGAGAGCAAAATTGTACAAGTGCCTCCGAATTTGACAAGTCCAGAGGGGCGGGAGGGAAGCATTCACAGGAAGCGGGGAGGGGGCGTTGGGGGTGGTTAGAGCCTCAGAAAAAATTCCGAGTCCTTCGAGGGAGTACTCGGATTCATCAGAGTCAGAAAAGCGCGAGCTACTTTAAGGACGTGGTACAGATTGGGGCGATCTGAGGCTGATTGCCTCGATCCTTAAATTCACAATTTCCGAGAAGGTCTAAGAGGTACTTTTTTTGTGATCGGGGGCAATCAGTCGATCGAATTTAAGATCGCGATCGATTGCGAACGATTGCCTCGATTTGATGCAATCGTTTGCAATCGACCTCGATCGATGGTTCGGATATATAGGCGATTATTCGCAATTTGTAACAATTTTCGTTGAGGTTCGCTTCAGCTCGCTGCTACAAAACATCTCGCGCAATAGGGCCAATTCGAGTGGCCGACGTAATGGGGCAACCTTGTAATTGCGCGACACAGATGTAGTCGTTTGGTCTCGCCAAATTTGAGCAGGAAAGGACATATTACTAGCTTGGAAGGCGCGTTTGAGGTTCCGTTTAGTTTCGACGAAGACACGAGGCTCAGATCGCGCGGCGCGGGAAGCGATCGAAGATTGCGTCAGATCGGGGCGATCACATCCAATCGCTCGCAATCTGATCCAAACTACCGATTCAGATCGGGACGATCTGCACCACGTCCTAATAGCGTGGGCCCAAACGGGTTTGATCGCCTCGATCAGCCGCGATCAATACTTTCCAGGAAGCCTGGAGGCCAAATTCAGGCAATCAGGGGCAATCAGCTGATCGCGATCAGCTGATCGCCCCAACTCAATCATACCCAATTTACTCCCCGATCATAGTCGATTCTCGTCGATCACCCACGATCAATTGATCGTGGGTGATCGGGACAACAGCGATACTGACGAAAGTTACACTGTATTACAGAGATTCGTCAACCCCTCACAGAACACCCAGGAAAGTTACACTTACTTGGATACAGAAAGTTTCGCCAGAAGCCGTCTGGTCGCCAGTCTCGCTAAGATTGCCACGTAAATACCAGGTAATTAAGTCCCGCTTGCTGAGCAGCCAAGAAAAACCTTCTGAGAAAAACATTACTGATCTGGCGGCTCGGGCATTGCGATCACCAGCAACCCGATCAGATCCGCCCCGATCAGATCAGTCGCGATCAAACCCGTTTAGGCTCACGCCCTAATAGCCTAAGCTCTGTTCCCCAGTCCACTCCAAAACACTAGAAAAGACAGAGAGCCATCTCACCTGAGTTTTCTCCTAGACGCCAGCGCCTAGGATATGTGTGCTTCTCATCCCGCACGCCAAGTCATCCCTGCACGTTCTCTCACCTGAACAGAGGGGGAGGCACCAGATTAACAGGGAGTTTCATCCTCTGTGGCCTGCATTTCAGAGTGATTTCTTGACAGCATTCTGCAAAAGCAGAAATGATGGATGGTACCGCCCTGCCAGCGGTTGTAAGATAGATTTAAATGCACCGCGATTTAGAGGTGAAGATATATAGAAAATACGTTGCTGGGTGAGCCTCCATTGACAGCGTGTTTTCTCGAGCTTTAGCTGGTACTTTCGGTGGTTTCAGAAGGAATACTGAAGTGCGATACTGGAATGATGGAGAACAGAAACACCCTGGTTTTCTTGGCTATGCCACGCCTGACACACTGCAGTGGGAGGTTGATCGGGCTGGAAATCGGATCCCAGGGTCCCCCAAAACATACCGAGTTGAGGGCTAGCACGGTTTGACAGAATTGGCCATCGCCCACAGCAGAGTACAACATTTTCCAATGCCCACGACCCTGCATTCCACGTTGCACGTTCACCTCAGCCATTTTCACACGAAAGAGCTTTCCCCGAAACCAACACTTCGCACGACAGGAGAAGTGCATAAGCTACTAGGACCCGACTCCGCGTTATGTTTCGCTGCGCTGGAGAAGTGCATTTGTCGCTATACCGCCGCCAATGCCCGCTTTGTCTCTATCTATCGATTGTCTAGTTGAGTCTACACCCTTATTCTCAGTCTTCTCACCGGCGGAAGCAGTGGCTACAGTGTTTCGACGTAGCGGGCTGGTGAGATAACTCGGTTGCGGGCCAAGTCGCACGAGGCGACGAAACCAGACTCGGGCCGTAAAATTCCGTTAACGCTGAATAACTGTCTTAACCGTTTAGAAAACAGCAGTACCATTCGAGAACGTATAGAACCCTGACTAAACGCCCTGGGTCAAACTGTCAGTATAACGCATGTGATAGGACCTTCTTTGGTCCGCTGCGGCTACACTAAGCGTCCCGGTCAGTATAACATATGCCAGTCTAACGAGAATGAGGGTGTAGACAAAACCGGGTCCACGTATCATAAGTAGCCCTTCCAGCCAGGTTTTTGCCGAATTAGGTCCCTCGGCGGCACGTGAAAAGGCGAGAGACTTGCATTGACTCATTATCTTACTCCAGATAAACCCGCATCGCTGTCAAGCTACCCAACAAGGCGAGGGAGTGTGGGGATGTGTCGCTAGCGGATCCACCTTGCCTTGCCGTGTATCGCTGGCAAATAGAAGTTCTATTTTGGAAGCAAATTATGCCTCGTTGGCTCATCCGATTTCACACAGTGCCAGAGAGTTATGCCGCGCTGGCTTACGCGTCGCACCTCTTCTTGATTTCACACAGAATCAGAAATTATGCTTCGCTGGCCGTGTGACGCCCGTCTCCGCGGGAGAGGGGTACTTTCCGCGCGACGCATAGAGGCGCACGTTCATTCCCCGCGCATCATCTCAAACTTCCACAGACTCGCGCTCGCTTTCGACCCCAGGAAGCGCACCGCCGATGCGCGGGCAACGGTCAATTTCAGGGAAAGGGGGCCCTGCCAACGGATCGACGCGCGTCCCGAAAGATAAGCTTTCCCGCCGAGGATAAGCTCCCCGCGGAGGATAAGGATAAGCTCTCCCCGGGGGATGTGCTCTTTCCAAGCTACGCTGAACACCAAGTAGTCGCTAAGTCAAGCTTGACTTTCCCGCGCTGCTGCTTGGGCGAGGGGGAGCTCTAGTGGGGGGAAAAGGTCCCCATGGGAGCAGGAAGGGGAAGGGGAGGGTAGAGGGGGGAAGAAAGGGGAGGGGGCGAGAGTTCTCATAGTATATAAGCCCGCGCTTGGGGCTCAATCCGCATCATACTATCGCCTTCGCTGCTCGCGACTCACCCCTTTTTGGTTCCTGCTTACCTATCCTGCTTGCTATCTACCACTAGCATCATCAGGCGCGGTGCTCCCCAGCCAATCATCAGGCTCCACCGCCAAGAGACTGCCGCCTGGTCGCCATCAGTTTCGTCAGCGTCAATCCGCCGCCGCCGAGAGAGTCCACCTGCTCGTCATCAGTTTCACCAGCGTCAATTGCGGCACCAGCGTCAATTGCGGCACCGGCATCGTTACCAGCGTCAATTGCGGCACCGGCATCGTTACCAGCATCAATTGCGGCACCAGCATTGTCACCAGCGTCACCAGACTCACCAGAGTCGACATCAGCAGCACCAGCATCATGGGCTCCCGTGGACTCGTGCTCGCGGCACTGGCTGCTCTTGTGCTCTCGGGTATGCATCATGGGTTCTCGTGGACTCGTGCTCGCTGCGCTCGTGGCTCGCATCCTTAGTATGCTCTCATGCACTCCTACCTTCCTGGACTCCGAACCTTGAAACTGCTGTCATCCTTGCTCTTCCACCTTTCTCTCCTTAATTCCTCTCCTCCCTCTTCCCCCCTCCCCCTCTCTTTCCACCCCCCCTGCGCGCCAGCGTGTGCGCCCATGGCGGAGGCTATCCGCGACGTGACCCCGGACTGCCCGTGGGGGCACGAAAGGATAAATGGCAACTGCGCTGGTGTGTGCTCCACCCCTCTCCCTCTTGCGTGCTACGCATGGCTGCATCCTGAATTCTTGCACGCCTGTATCGCCTACCTTCTGAAATCTCCCAGCCTGATCTGTAATTTCCTGCATTCCTGCTGCCACACCTTCTACCTGCCGTACATGTCGCCAGCATCCCTTGAAGCCTAACTATCACTCCTCGTTTCCTGCTTGAGCATCTTCTTACATGACTGCTCATGTCCTCCATGTATGTGTCTGCGTGCGTGTGCTCCTCACGTGGCCACGTGTGTTCTCCTTGTGTCTGCGTGTGTCCTCCACTCCACGTGTTGCCTGCCTGCCTCCAGACAAGTGCAAGTCGCAGAATTGCGACGTCAACACCGCGATGTGCAAGAAGAACGCGACGGGCGATGCAGTCTGCGTGTGCATCGATCCAGAATACGTGCTCGTGACCGACACCTCATGCGCACGTACGACACATCACCCCTATGACTCCCTTTTTCCAACTTTGAGCATTCTGGAAGCGTGCCCCTTCCTTAGCTGGAACATTGTGTTGTTCCTTTGAATATCATTATTCCTTCCCTCCCCTTCCTTTCCACCCCTCTCCACCCCCCTGCCCCTTGCCCCCACTGCGCCACATGGCAGCCTCGTGCGCCACGGAGTGTGCAAGACCCTCAACTCAACTAACCATCGTTCTCTTGCTACCCCTTCCCCATGCCCTTGCAGACCCGTGCACCGTCAAGGTGTGTGGCCTCCATGCCTCATGCGTGAAGGACGTGGGACAGCCGGCCATGTGCGTCTGTGACGGGGGCTTCGCCATGACGCCCGACCAGGGCTGCGTTGGTCAGTCAGTGCTGCTCTGCTGTGCTTCGCATCTGCCTGCTTCAACCTTCTTTACTCTCACCCGCTTCCTTCTGCTCCTTCTGCTCCTTTCTGCCCTTTCTGCCCGCTCTCGTCTCACCCACCTCCCTCCCCTCCCCTCCATCTCTGCCCTCCCGTGGCAGACACATGCACGCTTAAGGCCTGTGTGGACGGCACGTGCAGCAAGCTGGAGAATGGGACGGCCGTCTGTTCCTGCGACGCCGAGGCTGGCTTCAAGCTGCAGCTTGACAAGAGGACGTGCAAGGGTACGTGCTCAATATGCTGCGCGCTGCTGCGCTAGGTGCTGCCGTTGGCTTAAACTCGTGTGTTTTGTGCTACTTGCAACTTCTTTATGTGCTGCTGCCTACCTGCTGCGCTGCTGTGTATTTTCTAATTTTGGCTTTCGTCTCTTCCCGACGTCTCTCCCGCCCGCCTTTCAGACGTGTGCGTGATCGCGGATTGTGAGACCAAAGACGCCAATTCCGAGTGTGAGAGGAACCGGGACGAGGCCCACTGTAAATGCAAGCTCAACTTCGAGCTGTTCCAGGGCGTGTGCACTGGTACGCTTCCTCGACTCCATTTTGTGTCTGCCTCGCTTTGTGCATCTGCGTGTCTCCTTTTCGTTGTTTTGTCCACGTTTCTCCGCTCTCTCAAACTGCCTTCTGCTGATTCCCCTCCGCCCCTCCTTGCACATCCCCTCCGCCCCTCCGCCCCTGCCCTTCCAGACACATGCGTGGTGAAGGACTGTGTGGGTGGTGGTGGCACGTGCACCCAGGACGCTGATGGAGTGGCATTCTGCCATTGTGATGCCGTCGCTGGCCTCAAGCTGCAGGATGACGGAAGGACGTGCAAGGGTAAGGGCCGGCTATGGTTGGTGTTGAGTAGGTGCCGATGTGCTTAAAATGCTGTTATGTGCTGCTGTGAGCTCAATCTCGTGAGTGTTGTGCTGATTGCAACAGCTGAGTATGCTGCTGTCCTCGTGTTCTGTGCTGCTGTGTAGCTTCTAACTTTGGCCTCTCGACTCTCCCCCACTTGTCTCCCACCCGCCTTTCAGACGTGTGCGTGATCGCGGATTGTGAGACCAAAGACGCCAATTCCGAGTGTGAGAGGAATCTGGACGAGGCCCACTGTAAATGCAAGCTCAACTTCGAGCTGTTCCAGGGCGTGTGCACTGGTACACTTCCTTGACTCCCTTTGTGTCTGCCTCGGCTGTCTCTGTGCGTGCATCCGCTTGTCTCCTTTTCGTGTTTTTGTCCACGCTTCTCTGCTCTCTCAAACAGCCTTTTGCTGACTCCCCTCCAACCCTCCTTCCAAATCCCCTCCGTCCCTCTGCCCCTGCCCTCCCAGACACGTGCGTGGTGAAGGACTGTGTGGGTGGTGGTGGCACGTGCACCCATGAAGTCAACGGAACGGCAACCTGCCATTGTGACGCCGAAGCTGGCCTCAAGCTGCAGGATGACGGGAGGACGTGCAAGGGTAAGGGCCGGCTATAGTTGGCGTTGAGTAGGTGCCGATGTGCTTAAAACACTGTTATGATCTGCTGTGGCTCATTCTCGTGTGTGTTGTGCCAACTGCAACAGCTGAGTGTGCTGCTGTCCTGCTGTGCTGTGCTGCTACTTTTTGACGTCGGCGTCTCATCTCTTCCCCACTTGCCTCCCACCCGCCTTTCAGACGTGTGTGTCATCGAGGCCTGTGAGGTCAAGGACGCCAATTCCGAGTGCAAGAGGGTTCGGGACGTGGCCCACTGCGAATGCAAGACCAACTTCGAGCTTTTCGAGGGCGTATGCACTGGTATGCTTCCTGGACTCGCTCACTTTGTGCGTGCCTGGGTCTGTCTCTCTGCGTGCATCTCTGTGTGCACTTTTGTTTTTCCCACGTTTCACCGGTCTCTCGAACTGCCGTTTGCTGACTCCCCTCCAACCCCCCTTCCACATCCCCTCCGCCCCTGCCCTCCCAGACACGTGCGTGGTGAAGGACTGTGTGGGTGGTGGTGGCACGTGCACCCATGAAGTCAACGGAACGGCAACCTGCCATTGTGACGCCGAAGCTGGCCTCAAGCTGCAGGATGACGGGAGGACGTGCAAGGGTAAGGGCCGGCTATAGTTGGCGTTGAGTAGGTGCCGATGTGCTTAAAACGCTGTTACGATCTGCTGTGGTTCATTCTCGTGTGTGTTGTGCCAACTGCAACAGCTGAGTGTGCTGCTGTCCTGCTGTGCTGTGCTGCTACTTTTTGACGTTGGCGTCTCATCTCTTCCCCACTTGCCTCCCACCCGCCTTTCAGACGTGTGTGTCATCGAGGCCTGTGAGGTCAAGGACGCCAATTCCGAGTGCAAGAGGGTTCGGGACGTGGCCCACTGCGAATGCAAGACCAACTTCGAGCTTTTCGAGGGCGTATGCACTGGTATGCTTCCTGGACTCGCTCACTTTGTGCGTGCCTGGGTCTGTCTCTCTGCGTGCATCTCTGTGTGCACTTTTGTTTTTCCCACGTTTCACCGGTCTCTCGAACTGCTGTTTGCTGACTCCCCTCCAACATCCCTTCCACATCCCCTCCGCCCCTGCCCTCCCAGACACGTGCGTGGTGAAGGATTGTGTGGGTGGTGGTGGCACGTGCACCCATGAAGTCAACGGAACGGCAACCTGCCATTGTGACGGCGACGCTGGCCTCGTGCTGCTGGATGACAAGAGGACGTGCAAAGGTAAGGGTCGTTATAGTTGGTGCTGGCTATGGTAGGTGCCACTGTTTTAAATGCTGTCACGTGCTGTTGGGCTGCACTCATCTGCTCCTCATACTTTGTCATCTTGCCTTTCACCCTCGTTTCTGTTTCACCCTCCTTGCAGATGTGTGCGTTATCAGGAACTGTGAGGGCAGTGACGCCAATTCCGAGTGCAAAAGGAATGGCATTGACACAGACTGTGTCTGCAAGACTGGGTTCCAGATGTTTGAGGGCAAATGCACTGGTATGCTTGCGCGTCCATTTGTGTGTGTCCATCCCTCGCCACGCTCGTATACCTGGTAGCTCTAGGGCTGTGGTATTCACATTTATTGCTCCTTATGCTCCTCAGCCCTTCGTTTGTGTGTGTCTGTGAGCATGTGTGCATTTGCATTTCCTCTTGTGTGTGTTCCTCTGTTCCTGAAGCCACCTTTGCTGCATCCCTGCTGTGACTTCCCTACACCCCTGCCCTTCCAGACACATGTGTTGTGAAGGGCTGTGGTGTGAACGGCAAGTGCCAGAAGGAAATCACCACTGGAGTGGCGTCCTGTGTTTGCGACTTGGGTTTCACGCTGCAGGCTGATGGCACCACGTGCAAAGGTAGGTGCTCAGCATGGCGTTTCCTACTGTCCAGTTGCTTAGGGCCAACCCATCTTGCTCTGTTTGAACCTTAACCCTCAGCCCCAATCTAACCCTTCTTTTTCGAGCCCTTTCCTCAACCCTTTCCTCCAAACCCCTACCCTCAGATAACTGCGAGATCCTGAGCTGCAGTGGTCCCAAGGAGCACTGCGCCAAGAGCGCCACCACCGGCGAGGCATACTGCAAGTGCGATGACTACTTCCACAGGGCAGCTGGCGGCTTTTGCCAGGGTACGTGTCCTGCAGCAACTGCTTCGGTCGTGGGCCCATCTTCTCTCGTTCAGCCCGTTTTTTCTCTCTCTCCCTTTCACCTCTTGCACCAGCCACTCCTGCTGTTGACATGTTGCAGCCTGCTGTTTTTTTGTTGCGAAGGGAGGGGAGGGTGGGGAGGGCAGGGAGAGAGAGGGTGAGGAGGGGAGGGTGGGGAGAGGGGGATCATTTTCTTCCAGGTTGTGCATCAGCCTGAACTGTTCTCTCCTTCTACTCCCTCCCCAGATTGGTGCCCCTTCAAGAACTGCAACACCTCCGTCTCCACGTGCGTGAGGAGGGTGGACGGGATTCCGTTCTGCATTTGCAACCCGGGTGTCCCGCTGAATACCAAGCTCTGCGTTGGTAAGAAGCTACTTATTCTTCGTTCCAACTATATCCCTGGTACAACAGTATCTTCCTCTCCCTCCCACCCAAACCACCCCACCCCACCATCCCTGTCATCCTCTTTCTCACCCACCCTATCCCCTAAAACTTCTCCCCAGTCGTTCTTCCACCCCTTCACCTTGTCCCTTGCATACCGTTCCCTTGTTTGTCTCTTCCCTCATCAGACAAGGTACCTTCAGCATAGCCGTGAGGAGCATCTGCTCTGGTAATGGAACACCCTCATCCCTGCTGGAGTGCCTCAATAAAGGAGGATGAGGAGGAGGGGTTTGACCCTTGTGTGGCCCTGCCTTTATGAGATAAGATTTCCATGCACCGGGGCACAAGGCATCAGCTGAATTTTCCAGGGCACAATGTGTCCTGGTGTGTGTTGGTTGTGCTATCATTTGTTTTTGTTTTGTTTTATGCCAATAGAGGTTGGTTACATTTCAAGAAGGGAACGTACCCCTCAGAGTACATGGCTAGCTTGAACTGTCTTTGTATTGCACTAGTAAGGTATCAATAGTAACTGTTTGCTTTGTAATTGCTTTGAAGAGTGGAGTTCATAATTGTAGACCCAAAATGAGCAGCATCATTTTAGTTGCTGATTTCCCAGCACCAGAATTATTACGGGTGCAATGGAACGAGATAGCGAGGATTGCACTAGGTGTCAAACGAGTACAGGGTACGAGTGAAGGCATGAGCAAATACTTATACCGTATACTTTCGGCTATACGACACGGGGAACCAGGCCCTCAGATATCAGCGTAAAACACGCTGATTACGCTGATTTTGTAGCTCAGATTTTCGTTTTCCCTAGAAATTCAGCATATGCTTCAATTTTGCACTGAAATTTCAGTATAACCTATTTTGTCACACTGACCATTTTGCATGTTGCTGTACAAGTCGCACTGACGAATCAGTATAGTGTACCGAATCACACTGATTCGGACATGATAGGGTATGGGTCTACAGGGGGTGTTCAAACCAGGATTCCCGCAACAAGAGTTCGCGGCCCTCTCGGGTGGGTTCCCGCCTGCGGGAAGACACAGCCCAAACAACTACGCCAGCAACACCACTCTGAATGTGCCCTGAAAGTTTTAACTCTGAAAATTCAGTTTACCTTGATAATTCACACCGAAAAATCAGCTTAAAATTTGGCCCCAAGGCTGATTTGGACACCACTTTGGACACTGCACACTGATCGATCAGCATACCCTGAAACCAATCTGAGGGCCTGCGGGGAACTCTCTACAAATGCTTGAAAATATGCTCGGGTGGACATTATGGCGGCATCAAATTTTTAAAACCCGGGGTACACCTATTTGTATATTTACATTACGGTAATGGATTTACCATGTACTGTCTCGTTACAGAGCGGACAACACGCGGCGAACTAAAATGCACGAGCGCGGATTGAACGCCTCTATTCACGCACCGCACATCATCTTGACGGAACCTGTCAAAGTTATATATCATATTGCATAGTTTAGCATGTAGTGTCATTCCTACCAATTCTAACATGATATTATGAGAAGTTAGGTCTTTAGGACCGTTCTTTAAGAGGGCCCACCATTAGTTCCTCCCATTTCACTACCCAAACTGCGCCCCTAGTGCGCGTCGATTTTTTTTCTGCTCACATCGAGCCCCGCGCGCTGCCTTAGAGCCTGCGCTTGCCCGGCTGCCATGCGCCCGCGAGTGCCCCGCTGCCCTGTGCCCTGCTGCCGCGCGCAGCCCGTACAACCCGCTCCAGGCCCGCGCGCAGCCTGTACAGTCCGCGCCAGGCCCACGCGCAGCCCGTACAGCCCGCGCGCACCTGCCCTGCCCCACGTGTCAGCCCTGCGCTGCCCACGAGCGCCTGCCCTGCACTACGCCGGCGACCTGCGAGCTGCCCGCGCACTGCCCTGTGCGCGCCCTGCCTGCACGCCCTGCCGAGCTGCAGCTGCTGCCTGCTGCTGCCGCCACTAGTGCTGGCCACTGCCGTTGCTGCTACTGGGCGCTGCCACTGCTGCCCTTCTTGCACGCGCTGCTCAGCGCTGCCCTGCCCTGCCTAACCGCCGCCAGCGCTGCCCTGCTGCCACCACTGCTTCCGGCCACTGCCAGTGCTGCTGCCGGCCGCTGCCACTGCTGCCCTGCCTGCACGCGCTGCTCAGCGCTGCCCTGCCCTGCCTGGCCGCCGCCAACGCTGCCCTGCTGCTGCCATTGCTTCCGGCCACTGCCACTGCTGCTGCTGGCCGCTGCCACTGCTGCCCTGCTTGCACGCGCTGCTCAGCGCTGCCCTGCCCTGCCTAGCTGCCACCAGCGCTACCCTGCTGCCACTACAGCTGCCGCCAGCGCTGCACTGCTGCCGCTACTGTTGCCGCCAGCGTTGCACTGCTGCCGCCACTGCTGCTGGCCGCTGCTAACTGCCGCTGCTGCCCTTGCTACCGCCTGCGCGCGCTCCTACAATTGCTACCACTACTGCCCCTACCACTGCTGCCACTGCACCTACCTTTCAAGCTACCGCCGCTGCAGTCGCTATTTCAGCCCTTGAGTCGCTACTGCTGACTGACACTGCCTACCATGGCCACTATGACTATCCTGTGTCAGCGGCAGCTGAGTGTGCTGGAGTCTCTCTCGCCATAGCAGCTTCGCGAGTGGGAAATCTGGTGGGGCAACCGCGGTGGCGGAGCTAGCCGTGCTCGTCGGCGGAAGCCGCTTTTGCCACAGTAGTGTCGTAAGTGGGCGGTACCGTGGGGCAGCCCCGGTGGGGGGGCTTGGGGTACTAGTGCTGGGGGTGTAGGGGGACCTGGTGGTGTCGAGGCTACTAATCTAGGTGCTTGTGACTCAGCTAGCACAGGTGCAGAGCCAGAGGAGGCCTTACACTCTTTCACTCTAGACTCAGGCGCGTCTCGCTGCGTCTTTCGCGACGGCACCACAGTCACACCGCTCACAGTCCCGGTTCTTGTCACTCTAGCTGAACCCACCTGTGGCCCCGTCGTTGCATGTGGCTCCACTATTCTCCCATGTCCGGCAGTCCCCTCAGGTACTCTTGCAGGTCTCCACCTGTAAAAGTACGACGTCTTATGCCAGCTATGCTTGCTTGCCTTTACTTTATTATGCTATTTCTAGCATAGGATCATTATATGCATGCATGAATTGCTTGATTTCCTAGGCTAGGTGCTTTCCTATATTTTATTATAGTTATAGCACCGAGCTAGGTTACGTGCACCGAATTCTGGCTTTTCGGTTGCCACCGAATTGCCTTCTACCGAATTCGGGAAGGATCTGTTCGGGACGCTTCGCGATCCGCGGAACCTTCGCGTAACACCTGGTTACGGGGCCTTGTGTCGAGCCTATATATAGCCTCGTGTTGTACCCAGGTGATTCATTCAATTCGATTCAATTCACATTCTCTTTTCTGAGCTCGATCCTAGATCCTCATACTTGGTAATCACAGCGGGTTTTCACGCGAGGTCTTCAACCGCTTAGTTCCGGCCTTTAAAAAACCACGGGGGCGACGATGAAAGTGCCGATACGGGTATGTAAAACCAGTTCCGCGCAATTTTTCCAAGTCCCCCTCGATTCAGTTTTCGAACACCCCTCAGATTTATTGGTGGAAGGGTTAGAGTTTCGACCGTTCGATCGAGTTTCATCTCAACGGCCTAGAGAATTTCGCCCAAAAAAGTTGGAATTTGGAGCGTCGGATTTATTTTCTCCTCAACGGCCAAGATCGGATGCGAATTTCGCCCAGAAGAGATTTACGCGTGTCAGAACATTATAGCTTATGTATTTGTGTAGGCTGTAGTGGGGTAGCCCATAAGGGGTACAACCCAATTAGGGTTAGTACTTGTACCCAACTCTTTCATAGTTCATTCATTCTCGTTCTAAACTTCACATGGTATAGAGCAGGTTCCCTCGTGGGAACTGTTCCTAGGGCCCATCGATTCGATTATTTTTTTTTCCTGCCCGGAGCGCGCTCAGTCCCTGCCCGAGTCGCGCTCCGTGGGTCTCTCCTCTCACGACCCCTAGTGGACCCGTCGCGCCGCTCTCACGGCCCCTTACGGCCCCTTACGGCCCCTTAGCGGCCCCTCGCGGCCCCGTCGCGCTGCCCTAGCGGCCGCGTCGCGCCGCCCTAACGGCCGCGTCGCGCCGCCCTAGCCGCCCTCACGGCCCCTTAGCGGCCCCTCGCGGCCCCGATCCGCCGCCCTTGCGGCCTCGATCCGCCGCCCTTCGCGGCCCGTCGCCGCTCTCCCCCTGCGGCCCCTCGCCGCCCTTTCACCAGCGGCCCCGTCGCCGCCCTTGCACGGCCCCGACGCCGCCCTTCTAGCAGCCCCGTCGTCGCCCTTCCCGTGGCCCTGTCGCCGCCCTCTTCAGCGGCCCCGTCGACACCCTTGCAGCGGCCCCGCCGCCGCCCTTCTCAGCGGCCCCGCCGTCTCCTTTCAGCGGCCCCGCCACCGCACCTGAAGCGGCCCCGCCGCCTCCTTTTAGCGGCCCTGCCGCGGCCCCGAAAGCGGCCTCGTCGCCGCCTCTCAGCGGCCCCGCCGCCGCCCTTTCAGCGGCCCCGCCGCCTCCTCTTAGCGGCCCCGGACGCCGCCCTCTCAGCGGCCCTTCCGCCGCCTCCTTTGCGGCCCCGCCGGACCGCCCAGCAGCCGAGCCGCCCAATAGGAGAGCAACCGAGCCGCCCAGCCGCCGAGCCGCCCAGCAGCCGAGCTGCCCAGCCGCCGAAACGCCCAGCCACCGAGCCGCCCAACAGCCGAGCCGCCCAGCCGCCGAGCCGCCCAGCAACCGAGCAGCCGAGCCGCTGAGCCGCCCAGAAGCCGAGCCGCCGAGCCGCCCAGCTGCCGAGCCGCCGAGTCGCCCTGCAGCCGAGCCGCCCGAGCCGCCCTGTCCCGTAAGAGCAGCGCCTCTGTAACTACACTGCCCTCACCCTACTGTTCGCGCTGCTAGTCTACTGCTGTCATGGCTACCCCTAGTGTCCTCGCTTTTGACGCTGAGGGTCGGGCCATTGACTTAGACGTCTGGATAGATGACCTGCAGCTTTTCCTACAGTGCGATAGGGCAGACGGTCTCTCTCTCTTTGACCTCACCTCTGGTGCCTCTCCTGCCCCTGTTGCTGATGCTGACGCGACTGTTCGCTCACAGTGGGCCACGCGCGATGCTGCTGCACGTCTTGCTGTGCGTCGCCACCTGCCTACCTCTGAGCGTGCGCACTTTAGCCAGTACAAG